GGTAGCTTTCATCCTTTGCAACCGCTTGAAGCATGGCGCTGTACTCAAAGCATGGCAACACAGCGACGCCCCATGTCAGCTGACCAACGGTTCCAGAAAGGCCTGCCGCCGGAAGGACGCGGACCTCGAGTACAAAGGCGCCCGCACTATTCGTGGGGCAGCTCACATCGAAGTCCAGGTGGTCGCCAGTGAAAATCAGCTCGTACATTCGCAGCGCATCGCCAGCCAGCGCGTTCGTGCGCGCGCGAGTAGGCAGTGACACGCGCTCGAGCGATCCAAACGCTGGGTTGGCAGGCGGCGACGCCAAGGTGAGGTTGGAAAACTTCACCTTGACTGTCTCGCCTGTCACTCGTCGCACGATGCACCGATTGGTAGCTGGGTCCTCGGCGATGCAAAATCCGTGAGTACCGTTGAGGTCCTGTCGGCTCTGAAGGCCAATGAGCTTGACGAAAGTAAAGCGTGTTGGCTTCGGCGTGGGCGTGAGGGCCTCCATTGCGGCGACGAGAGGACAAAGGGAGCAATACGAGAGCAGAGGGAGCAATACGAGAGGGCAAAGGCAGAGGGCCTGGCGACGAGATCGCGATTGCTTTTGCTTTTTTTGTTATTTATAAAGCAGGGACGTCACGCTGGGTTTATATTCTTCTCTCTCTTGGGTTTTTGCTTTTTTCCCTTGCTCAGCACGAGGTCACATGGACAACCAAGAACTCACCAAGAACTGGCACGGCCTGCAAATGCAGCGTTTGTCTGTCGTTCTCTCCACACCGCTGTGGCGTGGCAGACGGTGAACGAGCTAGCGTGCGGGGAGAGCGGCATTGTGCATGGTGCGGAGTGCATTGCCGTTCTTAACGGAGTCGCTAGGCGGCTCCGGTGGTGAGCCGGTGTGTGTGCCAGTCCGCGCCAGTCCGCGCCCTTGTCGTGCCAGCGTGCTGTGAGAGAGGCTTGTGTTGCAAGATTCTTGTGCCAGTGCGCGCCAGTCCCGTGCCGAGTATGACGCACGTTAATTTTTTTTTGAGCTCGGAGTTGCAGCGAGTGCAGGCACTGACATGGGGAGTCTCCTTCGCGCGGCGATCCTCCTCCTCCCCGCTGCTGGCCACGCCTCCCGTCGCCTGGTCATCCGTTCAGCGGCCGCGGCTGCCGTGACGGTGCGGCCGCTGGGTGCGATAGCCAACTCCGACCCGACTCTCACCGCCGTATCCACGCTGAACGCCGGCGCGGACTACACGTCACTTGCAAGCGGCGTGAAGGTGAAGGAGGTGCGGGCCGGGACGGGCCCAGCGGCCAAGATCGGCGACACTGTGTTTGTTCAGTACTCGGGTCGCTGCCTCAACCTCAACGGGAAGAAGTTCATCAGCACACAGGACGCCGCCGCCAAGACGTCCGGTCTGGCCATCAGCGAGCCGTTCGTCTTCAAGCTAGGGTCGGCCACGGTGATCCCCGGGCTCGAGGCGGCTGTTCTCGGCATGTCCAAGGGCGGGTACAGGCGAGCGGTGATACCGGCCAGCCTGGGCTACGACGCGGATATGAGCCTCGGGCCCACGCCCGAGAGCTTCCAGGATCTGAGGTCGCTGGAGTCGATCGTCAAGAACCCGAACCGGGATGCGTCACTGCTGTTTGACGTGCAACTCGAGCGCATCAAGTGACTTTGTGACTTCGTGATAGGAATATACCGCATTTTTTTCCCCCATGAAAAATAAACAGCTAACAGGTCCCCGCCCGTGCGATCTTTGTGCAGGGTTCTTTGTGGGTGTGGTTGGCGACTACGAGCCGGGGTCGTCCTCACGATGGGGGACTAGCACTAGCCGTCTTCCACATGGTCCCCATGTGACCGACGTGTACCTCTTACCTCTTACCTTACATGCCATGAAGAATGAAACGCTAACGACAGGCTAACGACTGCTTAAACAAATAATTAAACGGAGGGATGTATCAGCCTTGGAGCAGCGCGTCAAAGTCGATGTTTGGCTCATAGTGCGCGACCGCCGCGCTCACGCGGGCCGTGTCGTGGATCGAGTGCTTCGCGGTGTAGCTCTCGATGATGTGGAGCGCGTCGAGGGTGCCGTAGCGCGTGATGAGGACCGGCGCATTCGAGTCCTTCGCCATCTGGGTGAGGTACGTCAGCGGCTCCGTGTCGTCGGGGAAGGCCTCCTTGTCCGGGAAGCCCTTGGAGGCGCCTGTGCACGCGAGGTGTGGGGAGAGATGGGGAGAGATGGGGAGAGATGGGGAGATACAGGGAAGCCCTTGGAGGCGCCTGTGCACGCGAGGTGTGGGGAGGTTTGGGGAGAGATGGGGAGAGATGGGGAGATACGAGGAGAGATGGGGAGAGATGGGGAGATGTGGGGAGAGATGGGGAGAGATGGGGAGAGATGGGGAGAGATGGGGAGATACGAGGAGAGATGGGGAGAGATGGGGAGATATGGGGAGATATGCCCTTGGAGGCGCCTGTGCTGAGCACCATCGCGAGATACAAATATCTCCCCATATCTCCCCATATTTCGCCTGTGCTGAGCACCATCGCGCCCGCCCAGTCGCGCGGCCCGTCGACCGCGCCGCCCTGCGCCGTCATCAGCCGCTGGTGCTGTGCGAGGTAGCCTAATTAACTAATTAACTAATTAACCAGCCTAATTAGCTAATCAGCCGCTGGTGCTGTGCCAGGTAGCCGAGCAGCAAGTCGTCGCGCGTCACGTGCGTCACAAAGAGCGGCCGCCTACTCGGGCTGAACTCATTGATTAATCCACCTACTGGTTCGTTAATTAGTTAGGCCGCCTCCACTCGCTCGGGCTTAACTCGTTAGTTCATCAAAACTCGTTAATCAATTAGTTAGTTCATTAGGCCGCCTCCATTCGCTCGGGCTTAATTCATTAGTCCATTAAAACCAGGTAATCAGGTACTTAGTTCATTAGGCCGCCTCCACTCGCTCGGGCTTAACTCGTTAGTTCATCAAAACTCGTTAATCAATTAGTTAGTTCGTTAGGCCGCCTCCATTCGCTCGGGCTCCGCTGCTCGAACGCGCGCCGCAGGAAGCGGCGCAGGCCTGCGCTGTGAACACGCCAGCCTCGGGGCGGGAGATATGGGGAGATATGGGGAGATACAGGCATGCTGCGCTGTGGGCACGCCAGCCTCGGGGCGGGAGATATGGGGAGATATGGGGTGATACAGGCATGCTGCGTTGTGAACACGCCAGCCTCGGGGCGGGAGAATGGGGAGATATGGGGTGATACAGGCATGCTGCGTTGTGAACACGCCAGCCTCGGGGCCGGAAAGACGGTATTGTGCGGCGTCTTCAGAGCACCGCGTGAGGACGAGGGATGCGGATACAGCGGATACAGCGGAATACGGGTGAATACAGCGGAGTACGTGTCCTCTCGAGCGCTAGTTGGGAGACAGGAATACGTGTTCAGCGTCTAGCGGCGCAGGCCGGTGGTGACAAGGAACGAGTTCTCGACGCCGTAGTGGAGTGAGCGGCAGCGGTGGCCGGCGAGCAGGTCGCCGTCGAGCGCCTTTTCCAGCTCGGCCAGATATGGAGGAGAGATGGGGAGAGATGGGGAGAGATGGGGAGAGATGGGGAGAGATGGGGAGAGATGGAGGAATATGGGGAGATATGGAGGAGAGATGGAGGAGAGATGGGGAGAGATGGGGAGAGATGGAGGAGAGATGGAGAGAGATGGAGGAGAGATGGGGAGATGGGGGGAGATGGGGGGGAGAGGGGGGGAGATGGGGGGAGATAAGGCTGTCGAACGCCCTCTCTAGCTCGGCCAGCGTTGGCTTGCTCAAGTAGGAGAGCTCCGGCACCACCCCAAGCAAGGGCACGCCCCACCTAGAGATGGGGAGATATGGGAGATATGGCGAGATAAACCCCAAGCAAGGGCACGCCCCACCTAGAGATGGGGAGGTGTGGGGAGATATGGGGAGATCTGGCGAGATAAACCCCAAGCAAGGGCACGCCCCACCTAGAGATGGGGAGATCTCTGGGGAGATATGGGGAGATATGGCGAGATAAACCCCAAGCAAGGGCACGCCCCACCTAGAGATGGGGAGGTGTGGGGAGATATGGGGAGATATGGCGAGATAAACCCCAAGCAAGGGCACGCCCCACCTAGAGATGGGGAGGTGTGGGGAGATATGGGGAGATATGGCGAGATAAACCCCAAGCAAGGGCACGCCCCACCTAGAGATGGGGAGATATGGGAGATATGGCGAGATATGGCGAGATAAACCCCAAGCAAGGGCACGCCCCACCTAGAGATGGGGAGGTGTGGGGAGATATGGCGAGATATGGCGAGATAAACCCCAAGCAAGGGCACGCCCCACCTAGAGATGGGGAGGTGTGGGGAGATATGGCGAGATATGGCGAGATAAACCCCGAGCAAGGGCACGCCCCACCTAGAGATGGGGAGATCTCTGGGGAGATATGGGGAGATATGGCGAGATAAACCCCGAGCAAGGGCACGCCTCACCGCTGCTCGAGCAGGCGCCCCATCTTGGACCGCACGTACTCGACCTTGTCGGGCCGCACCTTGTTTGAGCACGACGCCGCGGGTCATCTCGGCTCATCTCTCGGGTAATCTCGGGTAATCTCGGGTAATCTCGGGTCCTCTCGGGTCCTCTCGGGTCCTCTCGGGTCCTCTCGGGTCCTCTCGGCTCCTCTCGGCTCCTCTCGGCTCCTCTCGGCTCCTCTCGGGTCCTCTCGGGTCCTCTCGGGTCGCCTTGTTGAGCACGACGCCGCGGACGCGCACCCCCTCGTGCGCAAACATCATCCGGTTCATCTCCAGCTCGTCGAAGGCCTTGCCTACGTGCACCGAGATTCCCCGAGATTCCCCGAGGTTCCCCGAGATTCCCCGAGCTCGTCGAAGGCCTTGCCTACGTGCACCGAGATTCCCCGAGATTCCCCGAGATTCCCCGAGGTTCCCCGAGCTCGTCGAAGGCCTTGCCTACGTGCACCGAGATTCCCCGAGATTCCCCGAGGTTCCCCGAGATTCCCCGAGCTCGTCGAAGGCCTTGCCTACGTGCACCGAGATTCCCCGAGATTCCCCGAGGTTACCCGAGGTTCCCCGAGCTCGTCGAAGGCCTTGCCTACGCCGAGATTACCCCGAGATTCCCCGAGATTCCCCGAGGTTCCCCGAGCTCGTCGAAGGCCTTGCCTACGTGTGCAGCATCCGCCAGCCTCGGGGCGGGAAGACGGTGTTTGGCAGTGTCTTCAGAGCACCGCAATACGATCAACTCGGCTGAATGGGCTCGCATATGCTACCAGCTCACAGTATGGGTTCGGGGACGGTTCACAGCCAGTGCGGGGGTAGGGGACCCCTGGGGAGTACCAGTATGGATTTCTTTTTCGGGGAGGAACTCCAGGGCTGGAATTCTTCTTCGGGTGGGCATATGCAGCTAAGGGCGTAGGCATGCGGCTGAACGCGTGTCTTCTCGAGCGCCTGTCTGGTATACTGTCTGGTATAGCCCCGGCCGACTCCGTGCACTCTCGAGGGGATCTCGAGCTGCGGAGCTCCCCATATCTCCCCATATCTCCCCACATCTCCCCATATCTCCCCATATCTCCCCATATCTCGAGTTGCGGAGCTCTCGGCTGCTCGCTGTCCGAACTCTGTTCGCACCGAGCAGCGAGGAGCGGCTGTGGCTATAGCAGACAGCTCGAGCGCACAGTTGGAGTGGAAGTATGTGTGTACTCCGCTTCTAGAAGGCCTTGCCGATGCCGCCGTTGGCCACGAGCACGACCTCCGCTCCCATCATCGCGGCGGCGCGAGCGTTGGAGACTTCCACCACGCTGCCTATGGACATGTCTCGGACAGGTAACGGACGTGTCTCGGACATGTCCCGTTGGAGACCTCCACCACGCTGCCGACGCCGACGTGGCCGGTCCCCTCGGCCAGCACCACATCCGAGCCGCTCGAGATGGTCTCGTGCGCTCGCCGGATGGCCGCGCACTGCGCCTCGTTGGACACTTCGCCGTCGATGTACCGAGCCGTGTATCCAGACGGGATGATGACGGGGCTCATCGCCGAGTAGGGCACGTGGTCGAGCTTGAAGTACTCCTTCATGACCTGCACGTCCTTATCGACGCGAAGCTGGTTGCCGCTCTCGTCGCGCACCGGCAGGTGCTGCTGCCCGACGGGCTTCAGGAAGCCGACCTTGTTGAACCGTTTCTGCAGGCCGCTCATCAGCGCCAGGCTGACGGTGGTCTTTCCGACATGCTGCCGCGTGGCCGCGACGAAGATGGTTGGCTGTGGCATCGGAGAGCGGCACGGCGAGGCGAGAGCACCAGGTTGCGCGAGAGGAGAGGGGGTTGTCGGTGGAACGCCCCTTTGACCTACGCAAAAAGAATTTAATTTCCCCTCCCACAGCAGACAGGCTCGACACAGCCTGTCGTGTCCCTTGTCAGGAGCAGGAGAGCCCCACCTGTCCCCCTGATCGTCCTTCCAAAATCCTGCTCGTGCAGGTGGGGACCCTGTCCTCGTCCCATCCCTCGTTTGGCGTGTTTTCTTTCTTTCTTTCTTTAGGCTCGACACACCGAACGTACCGAGCGAAGAGCCGAGCGGAAGGAGGACGGGGAAGATGACTCCGAGGAGGACGAACCAGTGGAAATCCAGTTGTCAGATGTCACGATGCATCCGAAGGGGACCCCAGCGCCGGCATCATCCGTAGAGGCACGAGTGTTCGAAGAGAGAGTGGACCTGAGCAACAACATGACCTGTAGGCAAATGATCGGAGTGGGAGTCAGAAACGTGGTCCTTGCGCGAGGGGAGCTCGATAGACTCGAGGGGCCAGGATACGCCGCGAGGAGGACGGAGTTGCGCCGAAAGGCGAAAGAAGCCGCGAGAACAAGGGACCGGCAGGCGGCGGCGTCACAGGACGAGGCAGAAGGGAACGACGCGACAGAGGAGGAAATGACAAGGGAGAGAACGACGAGAGTGGGACGACCGCGAGGTGGCATGAAGGTTGCAGCGAGAATCGGAGAGAGACTGCGAAGAGAGATAGGAAGAGGCAGACTCCCTAGGGTGGGCGACGGCTAGCGCACCACACACCTCTCCTTAAAATCCCTGTGTGGTGGCGGCGTGCCGTCCTCCCATCCCTCCCTTGGGTTGTCTGTCTTCTTTCTTTCTTTCAGGCTCGACACAGCGGCGAACGGCGACAGCTCGGTTCGCGTTCGCCCCGCGACGGTGCGACTGAGCCTGCCGCGCTCGGTCTGGGAGCCACTCGGCGCCAGTTCGAGCGGCGGTCGGCTCGGCCACTGCGGGTGCGACGCATGATAGAGCATGCTGGGCGCCGCATCGTATACTACCGACCCACGCCAAGGCGCGGGGCGGTGGTGCTCGCCGGCGCTCGCGGTGCTTCGGTGCTCGAGCGCGCTCAACATTCATGTGGTCGTTCAGGGCGGCTCGCACAGCGCCCGCAGGCACACACACACACACACACACACACACACACACACACACACACACACACACACACACACACACACACACACACACACACACACACACACACACACACACACACACCACACACACACACACACACACACACAGACGAGGACACGCGCAGGGGCCGCACCTCTAGCGAAGCCCACAGAGTGGGAGACTCCTATCACCGCCCTGCCACCCACGTGAGCCTTTTGGCCGCCTCTGTCAGTGTGCCCGTGGTAGTGAGAGACTGCTGGTGAGAAGCCGGAGGAAGGTCGCTAGTCGAGAGAGATCGCCAGTGGAATAGGGAGTCCACCGTGCTGCGAGCCTGTCGCTGTCCCTTGTCAGGAGCAGGAGAACTAGGAGAGCGCAACCAGTAGGAGGACCGCGCCTGCCCCCGTGCCGCCAGGTGCAACCTGTCCTATACGAGAGAGGAATCCCTGGGACCCTGTCGTGTGTGGGTGAACCCTGCCCAGCCCCCCTCCGTGTCGCGATGCGCTCCCCGCTCCCGTTCCCCTGTGTCCCTGATCGTCCTTACACAAGATCCTGCTCGTGCAGGTGGGGACCCTGTCCTTCTCCCACCCCCCGTTTGGCGTGCCCGTTTTATTTATTTATTTATTTAGCAGACAGGCTCGACACAGGTGCGAACTGGCGCGTGCTGGTACTATCACAGGCACACCACCGGAGCCGCCTAAGCGACTCCGTTAAGAACGGCAATGCACTTAGCACCGTGCACAATGCCGCTGTCCCCGCACGCTAGCTCGTTCGCCGTCTGCCACGCCACGGCGGTGTGGAGAACGACAGACAAGCGCTGCATCTGCAGCCCGTGCCAGTTCTTGGTGGTCCATGTGACCTCATCGAGGTGCTGAGCGTGCGAAAGTTTGTTACTCAGCTGGTCCGCCGCCTGCCGAAGAATTTTGCGGACGCCGTCCCCGAAGCCGCCGAACGTCTCGAAGTCGAGCAAACGCAGGTCGCAATTCTTCTCCCGCGCGAACTGGTAGTCGCCCTTCTCGTAGCGGGCCGTCACAGGTGCCCCCGCCTCCGCCTCCCCCTCACTCTCCTCCTCCTCTTCCGCCGCCGCCGCCGCCTCCGCCTCTGCATCCTCCGCCTCCCTCCCCCCCTCCCCCCCCCCCCTCCGGCCGCGGCCAAGCAGCATGGCCTAACACTAAGTCGAGCAGCGCCCGCTCGGTGTTGCCGAAGGCGACAAAAGCCCCCCTTACAGCCGAGCCGATCGCCACCCTTGCACGCAAGCGAGCTCATAAGTTTCAAGTCGCCAACGAGGGCAGGCGCACATGCCCTTTGCCGATGTTCGCCGCCGCCACGTCAGGTTGTTTTGGGTTACTGTAACTGAGGTGTGCAGTCGGCTCCATCTCGATGAGCATGCCCCACGCCGAGCGAAGGGTCTTGACGAGTCGTTTGAGCAGGTATTTGTGTCGTGTCGCGTGCTTCGCACGCGGGTTGACCATTTGCGGCATCGCCGAGTTCTTCGTGCGGCTTGCCGTTTGGCGCCTTCTTGCAGAAGTCGTCGGCCTTGGTCAGCCTTACGATCGCCTTCGCCTTTGTGCCCGCCGACTGCCATTTGGCCGAGGCCGCCATAGCGAAAGGTAACGGGTAAAAAAAATCGCTCATTTGCCTGCCTTTTGCTCTCCACAACTAGAAAGAATGTTACAACAAAAGGCGCTCGCACAGCACGATTCACGCGACAGGCAAGGCGCGGGCGACGGCTTCCTCAGAAGCCGTCGCCCCCACCACAGGAGCAGTCACACCACCACGCAAAAAGAATTTAAGCTTTTTCGAGCCCCTTTAGGGGGGCAAACCCTGCCCGGCCCCTAGGTAGAGTCGACTCCCACTCCGGTGCCCGCCCCCCCCCCGACATCCCCCCCCCCCCAAACTCCCCCCCCCACCCCACCCCACCCCACCCACCTAGAAAGAAACAAACCAACAAGAACGCCAGCGACCCGCCCACGCCACCCACTGACGCCACGTCGCCACTGCCAAGCGCCTAGGAGCTCGCCCACTGACGCGCCCGCTTTTGGCGTCAAGCTGCCGCAGAAGCGTCGCGTACTTGCGCGTTTGACGGTGCTCGGCACCCAGCGCTGCCTCCATGCGCGCGACAACATCGCGCAGGGCGTTTGCGTCGGCGGCGCCAAGGGCGATATCGATGCGTGCCGCTTGAGCCTCGGAGGCGAGCGTGCCCTCGTGCCGGTTACCAAACGTCTCTCGATGCGCCTCCACCGACTCTCGAAGAAGCGCCTCCGCGCCGTTCAGGTCGCCCTTCTCCTCCAGCAGCGAGCCGAGGCGGAAGATCAAGATTAGCGTGTCCGGGTGCCGGTCGCCGAGCGTCTCTCGGCACCCCTCGAGCGCCCCGCGATACAGCGACTCCGCGCCATCCAGGTCGCCCTTCCCCTCCAGCAGCGAGCCGAGGCAGAAGATCGAGGTGAGCGTGTTCTCATGCCGGTCGCCGAGCGTCTCTCGGCACCCCTCGAGCGCCTCGCGATACAGCGCCTCCGCGCCGTCCAAGTCGCCCTTCCCCTCCAGCAGCGAGCCGAGGCGGAAGATCGAGCCGAGCGTGTTCTCGTGCCGGTCGCCGAGCGTCTCTCGGTACCCCTCGAGCACCTCGCGATACAGCGCCTCCGCACCATCCAGGTCGCCCTTCTCCTGCAGCAGCGAGCCGAGGCTGTAGATCGAGGTGAGCGTGTTCTCGTGCCGGTCGCCGAGCGTCTCGCGATTTCCCTCCAGCGCCTCGCGAAGCAATGCCTCCGCTCCGTCCAGGTCGCCCTTCTTCTCCAGCAGCGAGCCGAGGCCGAACGCCACGGCGAGCGTGCTCTTGTGCCGGTCGCCGAGCGTCTCTCGGTACCCCTCGAGCGCCTCGCGAAGCAACGCCTCTGCGCCGTCCAGGTCGCCCTTCTCCTCTAGCAGCCAGCCGAGGCCAATGATCGAGCCGAGCGTGCTCTTGTGCCGGTCGCCGAGCGTCTCTCGCTCGCCCTCGAGCTCCTCGCGATACAGCGCCTCCGCACCATCCAGATCGCCCTTCTTCTGCAGCAGCGAGCCGAGGCGGAAGATCGAGAAGAGCGTGTTCTCATGCCGGTCGCCGAGCGTCTCTCGGCACCCATCCAGCTCCTCGCGATACAGCGCCTCCGCTCCGTCCAGCTCGCCCTTCTTCTGCAGCAGCGAGCCGAGGTTGCCGATCGAGGTGAGCGTGCTCTCGTGCCGGTTGCCGAGCGTCTCTCGCTCCCCCTCGAGCGCCTCGCGATACAGCGCCTCCGCGCCGTCCAAGTCGCCCTTCCCCTCCAGCAGCGAGCCGAGGCGGAAGATCGAGCCGAGCGTGCTCTTGTGCCGGTCGCCGAGCGTCTCTCGGCACCCATCCAGCTCCTCGCGATACAGCGCCTCCGCTCCGTCCAGCTCGCCCTTCTTCTGCAGGAGCGAGCCGAGGTTGCCGATCGAGGTGAGCGTGCTCTCGTGCCGGTTGCCGAGCGTCTCTCGCTCCCCCTCGAGCGCCTCGCGATACAGCGCCTCCGCGCCGTCCAAGTCGCCCTTCCCCTCCAGCAGCGAGCCGAGGCGGTAGATCGATCGAGCCGTAAGTAGGTGCCGCTCGCCAAGCGTCTCTCGCAGCACCCCTACCGCTCGTTGCAGCAGCAGTTCGGCCTGGTCCAGCTCGCCCTTGGAATGTAGCAGCGAGCCGAGCTCGTCCATCGAGCAAAGCGTCTCCGGGTGCCGGTCGCCAAGCGTCTCGCGGAACCCCTCCAGCGCCTCGCGAAATAGCGGCTCCGCGCCATCGAAATCGTTATTCTCCCGGAGCAGCGAGCCAACGTCGCGTATTGACATGAGTGTGCGCGGGTGCCGGTTTCCAAGCGCCTCACGGCATCCTTCTAGCGCCTCTCGGAGCAGCGCCTCCGCTCCCTCCTGGTCGCCCTTCGTGTGCAAAACCTCGCCGAGGTTGCCGACTGCCTCGAGGGTGTCCTCATGCTGGCTGCCAAGCACCCGGCGCATCCCATCCACCGCTTCTCGAATCAGCGCCTCCGACCCTTCCAGATCGCCTTGGCCGAATAACAAATATCCGAGGCGCCACATTGAAGTCAGCTTGAGTGCAGCTCCATGAGTTTGGTCGCCCGTCTCACGCAGGCCTTCGAGCGCCTCGCGGTATAGCGCTTCCGCGCCCTCGAGGTCACACTTGCCCCAAAGAAGCAGCTGCCCATAGTCAACCATCGAGGCGAGCGTGTCAGCGTGCAGGTCACCCAAGGTCGTCCGCCTGCCCTCCAGCGACTCGCGAAGCAGTGCCTCTGCACCGTCATAGTCGCCCTGGCTTTGCAACAGCCGCCCCACCGAAGTGAGTAGCACCGACGTCGCCCTCTCCGCCGGCGCCAGCTTAGCGAGCTCCTCCCGCGCCGACGCCACCAGCCAGCCGCGAAGCGCCTCCGACACACGCGCCGTCACGAGGCTCAGGCCCTCCGCCTCAGCGTCCACCGCGCCTGGCGCGAGCGACTCGATGCAGCCAAGAATGTACTCGCGGTCCTCCACCTTTGAGATCTGCGCGTCCCGCGCATCGATTGAGGCGACAATGCCAGCAATCTCGTCGAAGTTGTAGGTCAGCATCTCAACGAAGTGAGTGCGGTCAGCGGGACTGAGTGCCACATGGAGCTTGCAGCCCTTCCTGAGCGCATGTGACAGCTCAAAGAGGCACCAAGCTCGCGTGATGGCGGCCGCGCCCCGCCGCACCCATGGCTGCGCCGGCGCCCCCTTGGCCTCTCGCTGCGGGCTCAGGAAAGGGTGCGGCGGCGCGTCCCACTCGCCGACCAGCGGCGAGCAGTAAAAGTAGACCTCACTCACCGCCTCAAGAGCGTCGTCAAAGATGCGGTCGGTGTCCTCCTTGCGCGCGAGGTAGCCGGCGGGGTCCGACTCCTTTGTGATGGATGAGGACCGGTACACGCCCGCCAGCAGGTTCTGCGAGGCGCAGAACATATCGACCCACACGTGTCGCTCTCCACTCTCCTCCTCGAGCGGCCGCACGACGTCATCGATGGCGGCGAGCATGTCCACGAGCGCAGTGCCGGTCCACGAGTAGGAGAAGAAGCCACGGGCGCGCGAGACCGCACTGCGCGCGAGGTGGAGGCCGTCGCGCTCCGCGATGTGCGCGACGCTCTCGGCGAGGGAGAGGCCGGTCGACAGTGTGAGCGTGCACACCGTGACGTGCTCGCCCAACCCCTTGCACACACCTTCCATCGTCAGGCTAAGCCCGCTGTGCTGCGAGTAGAAGGCGTGGACTGCTTGCAGAAAGGCGAGCGAGACTCCGCGGTCCCCACTTGGCAGCCGGTGCTTATGCGGCGTTATCGGGAGCGATGCTGGTGACGCCGCCTCGCGCAGCAGCGTCTCGAGTGCGACCAGCACCTCTCGGACGGCGAGGTCTTGCAGCGAGGTTGTGCGGACTCCGACTCTCTGGGCAAGAGCTTCGCTGCCGAGCTCAGCAGCGAACTCCAAGAGGCCGGACGGTGATGGACCTGGTAGTGATGATGGTGACGTTGGCCGCGTCGAACACTCTCCTTCCACTTGCTTGCCGCGAGCAGCGATGAAACACGGGCCAGCGTTCTTGTCGCGCTTGTGGCGAATCACTTTCTCTTTGAACCACGAGCGCATCGTAAGTCGGGCGAGCTGATGTCTGAGCTAGGGAACGGTGCCGATCTCTCGCTCTCGCGATCCACTGCCGACGGCAAGGCGAGCAGCCGATAAGGTGAGACGCTTGACACGCCCTCGCGATTGCGTCGTTCCTTTCCAACAGGGGAGTCCCCCGGGGGGTCCCATTTCTCGTTGGGCTCAACCAGGTTTTCCTCTCGCACCCCGTCTCTTTCCTTTCCTAATTCCGGACCCTTCAGGGACCCTTTCCCCCCTCCCCCATTCCCCTCTTCTTGAGCACTTGAGCACTGGATAGGGTCGATTCCGCATGGTACGGGACCCCTCGATCGTCTCGCCCTCTTCTCCCTTTCTCTCTCCGCGCCGACAAAACAAACTCTCTCTCCGCGCCGCATGCGCCCCCTTCCCCTGTCGCTTTACCCTTTACACATCTCTTTACACACGTACAATGCGAAGAAGGCCGAGGTCATGGCCACCATGTGAGAGTGTGCAGCAGAGCAGCACACAAAGGTCGCGACGGAGGTCTGCGTGTGTGCGGGGTGTTTCTCGTGTGCGGTCGTGCGGCATGAGGGAGGGGTGCACGCGGCACTCCGAGGGCGCTTTGGGCGGGAGAACAGCGGGTTGGGACGCGCGTAGCCAATCGTTGCGCGGATATCCGACGACGGCTTCTGTGAGGACGACGGCTTCTGTGAGGACGACGGCTTCTATTATCCACTGTGAACGGCGTGGTTTCTTTCTGCCGTCCTGTGGATGGGGCCATATCGCTCCTGCGACGTCTTTGGCATAATGAAGACTCCGGCTGTGGGTCTCACCGCGGCGCAGATGCTCGAGTTCGAGCGCACAGGTCACGTGCGCACGCGCAAGCTGCTTCCTGGCGCAGCCACCTCCGCACTTTCTAAGGAAGTCGATCGGCTCTACACGGAGCGCGAGAGCGAGGCACTCCGCCAGAAGGTAAGGGTGTTGCTGGGCGACGACCGACTCGCGCGCGCGGAGCACAAGAGTGCGGCTTCGCCCCATGTGCTGCGTCGCATACTCCGCGAAGAGCTGCCGGAGGGTGCGGTGCCCTTCATGCAGCTCTTCAATTTGTGGCGCACGTCGCCAATGGTCCACGAGCTCTGGCGTTCGCCGGCGCTCGCCGGGACCGCCGCCAGCCTGCTCGGCGTCGAGCGCGTTCGGCTGTACCAGGATTCGTACTTCCTCAAACGCCCGGGCGACGGCCCGACCCACTGGCACTCAGATCTGTCGATGGCGCCTCTCGACACAAACTCCTTTGTGACCTGCTGGCTGCCTCTGCACGACGTGGCCGCACCCGACGACGGCGGCAGCTCCCTGGTCTTCGCGAGCGGCTCACACCGCGATGTCGCCCTCAACTTCTGGCACGGCGACCCGCGCCGTCCAGTGGACGCCTCGACGCGGGGCTACCCGCTGCGTGATGGCGGTGCGCTGCGCGCGGGCGACGCCACTTGGCACCATGGCTGGGTGTTGCACAGCGCCGCGCCGAACATGGGCGACGTGCCGCGGCGCGCCGTCGCGGTCTCGTTCTACGCGGATGGCGCCAGCCGGCTGCAGGGCGCGCTGCGTTCGCAGCATGACGAAGATGCCGAAAGCTGCGTGGCGTGGCTGGGCGACGTGCGACCAGGGCGGGCGGCGCGCCATCGATGGTTGCCTCTCGTCTGGCCGCCCGATGCGACGGGTGGAGGCAGCGCTCGTGGCAGCGTCGGCAGCTGCGCGGAAGCTAGTACGCGGGCTCGCAGGAGCGTCGGCGGCGCCGGTGGTCGCGGGGGGCGTGGCGGCGCGGGCGATGGCAAGCGGGGCAGAGGTGGGGGCGCGCGCGGGAGGCGGAGGGCGTGGGGGAAGGTGGAGCCGTAGATCGTGTAGACCGTTCCATGGCCATTATACGGCCGTTTAGGTAGGACTGTGGAGTTAAGTGAATGGCGAGTTTTATGCTGCGCGGTTCTCGGGATATCGGGTCCGGGGGACTCACACTCACGTGTCACGACTCAGCGGACACTCGCTTGTGCGGACTCTGTCTCAGAGAGTCACAGAGGTGTAAGTCACAGGACTCGATCACAGGACAGCCTGTGGCTGGACACAGGCGAAAGACAAGAGAGAGGCCGATCACAGCGAACAGATCCACCGCGCACACGCACACGCTCTTCATATCGTTTCCTCATGGGCGGCGCGATGCGTCTGCGGCGGCGGCCCGCACCACCACCCCAGGCAGCACGAAACTGCGCCAGATGTCCACCAGTTCTGGAGCCGCTCCCTCGCGGCCAACGAAGCGCTCCTCGTCCCAAGCGACCAGGTAGCCCAGCCGCATCACCTCGACCGCCCACTTGCGAGCCGCCTCCGGGAAGAGCTCGTGCGACTGCGGCGACCACTCCGCCGCCTTGAGGATCAGCCTGCCCACCTCCACCGCCTCGGCCGCTGGCTGCAGGTTGGCCGGCCTGGAGGGCAACCTCGAGAACCTCGACAACATAAGAGTGTGATGCCCCCTACAACTGTAGCCGTCACCCTCGGCCTCCGCCTCTCTTCGCAGCATTCGCAGGCTCTCCGCCTCCGGCCGATTCCCGCTGCCAACCTTCATGCCACCTCGCATGAGCCCAACCCTGCTCGCCAACCTTGCCCGGGGCGACCTGGCCTTGCTGCGCGCCGTCCTCGCCGGGTGGCGGACGCGCGGCACGCTCGACGCGCGGCTCGACACCGACAAGCAGCACACCCTGCTCACCTGGGCCGCTCGTCACGGGCGGGCCGAGGCGGTGCGGCTGCTGCTCGACAGCGGCGCGCGCGTCGAGGCGACGACTGGCGGCGGCGCTTCCGCGCTGTACATCGCGTGCCAGGAGGGGCAGATTGAGTGCGCCCGGCTGCTCCTCGAGGCTGGCGCGGCGACCGACCAAGCGGATTCTGAAGGCCGCACGCCGCTGTACGTAGCGAGCCTGCAGGGCCATGACCAGTGCGTCCGGCTGCTTCTCGAGGCGAGCGCGGCGGTCAACCAAGCCAAGGACGGCGGCGCCACGCCGCTGTACGTCGCGTGCCATAAGGGCCACCTCGAGTGCGTCCGGCTGCTCCTCGAGGCTGGCGCGGCGGTGGCTCAAGCAGACGCTGAAGGCCGCACGCCGCTGTTCGTCGCGTGCCAGAACGGCCACGTCGAGGTATCCCGGCTGCTCCTCGAGGCTGGCGTAATAAATGGCGAGGGGCTGGGTAGTCGAGGGGCAGGAGGGCGGGCGGGCGGGCGTTGGCGCGGGCGGGCGTGGGTGCGGGCGTGCGGGCGTGCGAGCGTGCGGGCTCGCGGGGGGTTCGAATCTGGTGGGTAGCGCAGCAGCTGCGGCAGCAGCAGCAACATTATCAGCAGCCGCGGCAGCAGCGGCAGCAGCGGTATGAATCGACGGCGCCCCTTATGTGTGTGTGGACTCACACATCACACCCCTCTCCTTAAAATCCCTTTTTGTGGCGGCGTGCCGTCCTCCCATCCCTCCCTTGGGTTGTCTTTCTTCGCTTTTCTTTTAGCAGACATAGGCGCTCGACGCGCACAGAGGGTGCGGACTGGCGCGTGCTAGCACTATCACAGGCAAACCACCGGGAAAAAGAAGAAAAGGTGCCGCAAAACGGTACTGGAAAAAGGAAAAAAATATCTTCGTCTTCTCTCGCAGCCTCTCCGACACCCGCCACAACCCACATGCAGCTCACGGCTCCTCCTCGTCGTCGTCGTCGTCGTCATCGTCGTCAAAGCCCTCCTCCTCCTCCTCCTCGCCCTCCTCCAGCGGCCTGTGGGAGAGGGCGACGGCACGCCGCTCAGCCGAGTGAGTTTGGGGCCTCCGAGGGACTCAGGGGCGAGAGAAGGCACGCAGAGCGGCACACGCTGCTACACCCCATCGCTGCGTCGTCGCTGGCGAGCTGTGAGCTGCGCGAGTGCTGTGAGCTGCGGCGAGCGGTAAGTGCTGTGAGCTGTGAGCTGTGAGCTGTGACTGTGAGCTGTGAGCTGTGAGCCGTGTGGCGGTGCTCGCAGCGTCTGCATGCGTGCTCTCCGGCGACTGCTATACACCACCACCTGCCCCAATGCTTCGACTTGCTCTCCCCAAGCATGAAATCGTCGCGCAGAAAGGCGGCGGAGCTGCTCGGCGCGCCAGCCTTGGCGCCGCCAGTGCCTCGCCGCAGGATGTCGAGGAAGCTGTCTCGCGACAGGTCGAGCGGCGCTGCGGCGGGCGGCGCGGTCGCAGCACCAGGGTCGCGTCGCTGCCGCTTGGCCTTCGTCGGGGCCGCTTCGGGTGCCTCCTTTTGAGCGGCGCGCACCGCGTTGAACAGCTGCCGGCGGGGGGACGGGGCGTCAAGGGCGGTGGAACGCGGCGTCGGGAGCTGGCGGCGCCGGTGCGCAGACCTGCACAACACCGCGGGTCGCGATCTTTTTCAGCTGCCGCTCGAGCACGGCGGAGCTGGCGTCCGCGCCGGTGCGGAGTGTCGTGTGCGCCTGCGTGGCTAAGCTGCGCTTGGCGCGAGAGATCGCAGCGGCCTCGCGCTCCTCGCGCTTGGCATCATCAATCTGACGGACGGCCGAGCTGCGTCGAGCGAGGATTGGCGCGCCGCCGCTCGAGGAGGGGAGTGGCTGCTCGAGCAGACGCGCAGCCACGTCGGCGAGCGAAACCTTGGGCCCAGCGTGCGCCATTACGTGTACGTGGGTGGTCTGTGTGGGTGGGTGGATGGTTTGGTCGTTCCTCTCCCCTCGCGCGCGTCTTCGAGGCACAGCTCTCGCGGCGGTCAACCGGAGATTTTTTTCTCTCTCGACTTCACACACCTTCAAAAACCTAAACGAGTTTGGCTCGTTCGGGAGGCGGCGAGGCGAATCCAGACTCGGTCGAAAGACCCCATCCCGGGCTGGATACGACTTCTCGATCCACCTCCCGGGCTCTGGACAGGGTGGCAGCGCCGAGCACCGGCGGCCGCAAATACGGGTGTGCGAAAGTGGCTCGGACTCGTCGCGTGCGCGCCGCCGATGAGCGCCGCTCGTCTGCTGCGTGTTCTCATGCTGGACGCAACGAGCGGTGAGCCCGGGTGCTCGCAGCGGCGAGCGGAGCGGAGGGAGAGCTGCTCGAGCTGGCTGCAGGCTTGGAAGCGGCCGCTCGACTGAGCCCTGGTCTGACAGCCTGACAGCAAACCCCGGACAGCGCCTGACAGTGCCCGACAGCCTGACAGCGTTGACAGCACTTCTCTGACAGCCTGACAGCACGTATCTGACAGCCTGACAGCAGAGTCTGACAGTCGAGGGGCTCTGTCGCTGTCAGGCCCTAACGTGACAGCCTGACAGCTGCCCGACAGCCCGACAGCACACAGTGGCCTGACAGTAGCGCTGACAGCCCGACAGCCCGACCAGCCCGACAGCAGCACAGACCACACAGGCCGTGCAGCCTCTTTCTTGTGCCCCATGAGGGTATAACAAAACTATTACATGCAAAGACATGTAGTCATGGGATGGTCATGGGTCTCTCCTAGGGTCTCTCTCTCAACCCTCCCGCCCCACCTCTGCGGACCCGCGGCTGTGCTACTACAAATGAAGCTACCAGCTAGCCTTCTGGGGCCCTACAGCCATATGCCTACAGTGTCTGGGTGGGGGTGGCCGCCGCCGTTTGTGCCGCCGCTGCCTGCGCCTGCGCCGCCATCTGCGCTCCCCAGGCGGCCGCCGCTGCCGGCGTGATCACGCCTGCGCATGAGTCCACTCCGACCCACCCGCCCGCACCCCTTCCCTCCACTCAGGCGCCGACGAGGCGTTGCGCTCCTTTGCCACCGCGGCCCACCTCAACAGCATGCGGGACCCCAAGGGATTCAAGATGTTCAAGGACCTTGATCCGCACAACAAGCAGCACTGGCCGGGCGTGCTCAAGATCTTCAGCAAGAAGACTACTGACGAGCTGAAGCGGCGGATTGATGCCGGCGAGACTCACCTCAATGCCACCTTTGCCGTCGTGAGCGTCTTCAGCACGTACCTTTCCTCGTGGCTCGATCGCGGGCGCGAGCCGCTGGACGTCATCGAGGACGCCGCCTTGGTGCTGGGCTTTGTGCTGCACTGGCGCCGGCACGTGACCTCCACCCGAGGCCTCACTCTTGAGGCCAACTTTCTGACCCGCGAGACCTTCCTCGACATTGTGACGTCGTGCCATGGCTGCATTTTGCGATTCATTCAGTTCCGTGACAACTTTGGTGGCCGGTTCAAGCCGGACGGGCCGCGCTTCACGTCGGCCTTCTCTGAGTACTTCTTCCAGTACGGGCGGATGGCGCAGACAAACTCCCCAGTGGTGTCGGTGATGGGCTGGGCGCGGCATCTCGATCACTATCTGTACCAGCAGCATCTGGAGGCTGCTCAGCCGGGGTTGAAGATTCCGGCCTCGTGCCGCGGCATCCCGCACTCGATTGAGCGGATCAAGATCGACACCCTGCCGCCAGGCTGGTTCCCTACGAACCCTGAGATGATTGTCGCCCTCGACAGGGGCCTAGCTCGTGCGATTGAGCTCCTTCGATTCTGTGGAGTCCGCGCCAACCTCTGTGCGCGGACCGGCTTCTTCAAGCAGCCGTGCTTGCACTTTCCTCTGGCTGACACCTATGTCCAGGGTGGTGCGTTGCTGGAGGAGCCGGGAGAGAAGGAGGATGATCCAAACGGCACACCAGATGCTGAGCCGGCCGAGCTGACTGCCATGGGCGCACAGGATGCTGCAGATGCCGAGGCCGTGCTGAACCAGCTCATGCGGACGGGGGCCAACGTGGCGCCTCCAACCGGCGGCGAGGAGGGCAGCAGCGCAGAGTTTTTTGAGGAGATCCGTAAGCTGCTGGCAGATTTCAACGTCTCCATCCAGGAGGAGTCAAAGGATCGCAAGCTCCGCTTCCACGTCAAGCGGCTCATCAAGTCCCATCAGCAGCGAGGCGAGGATGTGGATGAGGAGCTCGACTTCTACATGGATGATGATGACGGTGACCACGCCCTTGCCGCCTGTCACACACACACATAAGACGTGCATCCTCATCTCTCCCTCTTCTCTTTCTCTTCGCAGTTGCGGTGCTCTTCACCATGGAGGATAGCTCCAAGGTCTTTGCCATCGGCAACATCGAGCAGGTGGCCGTCGCCGACGGCACGGTAGACGCGCGCCGCGCCACTGGCAGCTCGAGCGCAGAGTACCTGCGCCAGCTCTCGATGAGTCAGCGCAGCAACGGGGTCTTCATCAACGACCCCAAGGGCCTCTTTATCCTCCGGTGGTACCGTGAGGTGAAGGGTGACGGGACCCCCCCAGACGGCCCGCGCTACCAGAACAGAGCGTGCAAGTACTACAAGCTGACGAGCGACAACCTACGATGGGGAGGCCTTCCGCTGGACCAGCAACTACCAGATCATCAGCAAGGTGTACCTGAAGAAGCACTCCAGTCTGCCTCTCTGCTATTCTCTCAGTGCGGCAGACAAGAAGATGGTGACGTCCACCATGAGAAGAAGATGGTGGGACCGGAGGCAGAGTAGAGACTAGAGTATGTGTGCAGTAGAGTCCTGCTGGTCTCCTCTTGATAGTGTCATAAGTGTGGCTGGTGTGTGTCAGAGCCTGACAGCACCCCGACAGCACCACCTGACAGCACCTGACATCAACAGCCCAACGTGTCTGACAGCAGCAGCAGCCTGACAGCTCTGACAGCTCCGACAGCGTCTGACAGCAACACCCGACAGCTCTGACAGCACCCGACAGCTACAGAGCCCCTCGACTGTCAGACACGCACCCGACAGCACCCGACAGCACTGACAGCACCCGACAGCTGGTCTGACAGAGGCACCTGACAGTGCCTGACAGCTGCCCGACAGCCCGACAGATCACCTGCACCTGACAGCCTGACAGCCAGGGCTCAGCCGCTCGAGCCTCTCTTATCCTCTTCGCTAACAGTTTAGTGTAACGCAGGCTCTGCTTCACACTGTACGGTACCGTCGTCATATTTCGCGCGTGGTGCGACGCTAGCTCTACTTTGGCTTCGCACATGTTATCACCGTTCGGTGCACACTGGGCCGCGTACCAAAAGGGAAAGTAGGCAAAAGGCGGAACTAGTGTGGGGTCCGTCTGTCGTCCACATCAAGCACGCTCGCGAAGGATCGCGTTCCCCGGCGCTGCGCTGCGCGGGCTTGGGCACCGCTTGGTAGTTAGGTCCCTTGCCCCCGTTGCACTAGATGCTAATCTTCGCCGCCGGCTGGGGGCTCAAAGTGACGCCCGCGCCTCCTGCCACTCTCGAATCGTCCGGCGCAAATTGTGGTTCGGGATCAGGATGCTATGCTCGAGCTCGCCGCCGGTCAGCGGGCTCGTCGACTTGGTCGCGAGCCAGCGCTCGATCGCAGTCCGCTCATACGACTGCCCGTCGGCCGCCACGACTGGCTCGACCATGACCTCGGTTGTGATCGGGCAGATGAAGTCGGCCGGCGGCTCCTCCTCCTCCTTCGCAGCCGGCGCCTCTGCAGCCGACGGCGAGCCGCCCTCGGTCGCAGTGACAAGCGTCCGCTCCTCCACCACCGGCCTCGCTCCCTCCAGCCTCGCGCTCTCCTCGAGCGCCGCCGCCAGCTCCGCCTCCTCTACCGCCGCCGCCACCTCGCCCTCTCCCGCCTCGTCCGCCTCATCCTCGGGCTCATGCGACGGCCCAGCGCCTCCGCCGCCACCCCTCCCCTTCTTCTTCTTCTTCTTCCCCTTCTTGCTCTCCTTGGCGCGCCCCGCCTCCTTCTCCGCCTCCTCCTCCGCCAGCAGCGCCTCGGCATGCCGCGCCGCCTCCGCCTCTGCCGCCGCACTCTCCACCGCCCTCGCCGCTGCCTGCGCCGCCGCGTGCTCCTCGAGGGCGCGCACGCACGCGCTGTGGCCCTTGCTTTTGGCCATCTGAAGCGCCGTCCTGCCGCCCGCATCGCACGCCGTCGTATCCGTGCCCGCCCGCAGCAGGCGGAGCACGGTCGCGGGGTGGCCGTTGCCAGCGGCGTGCATCAGCGCGGTGACGCCGGCGCTATCCTGCAAGTTAGCATCCGCGCTGCGCTGCAGCAGCAGCTCGATCGCCCGCTCGTGGCCGCTGCCGGCGGCGAACATCAGCGCGGTGAAGCCGATGCTGTTCTGCAAGTTGGCATCCGCGCCGCGCTGAAGCAGCAGCTCGACCACCCGCTCGTGGCCGTTGTTGGCGGCGAGCATCAGCGCGGTGACACTCACATCGCCCGCCCGGCAAGTCGCATTGACCCACCCGCCGCTTTCGAGCCACGCCAACAGCGCCGCCTCGTCGCCTTGGAGAGCTGCGTCCACCGCCTCTCTGGGAAGGCTGCCCAG